TTCATCAATTCTAAGATGCACATTTTAGCGTCTCTGAAATGAGACATATATTATATATTATAGCTTAATTCGTATTGTTCCTTCTCAATACATTCAACAATGGAGGCTTATTAGATAGGTGGCATTTTAAATCAGATGCTATGTGCTCATTTTTCCTGTTACTAAATTGCTGTTCAGTTTTTTCTTTCTCATGTGAAAGATAGTTTGAACCATAATTGTATGCTGGATGTGAAGCTTTCTGTAGAAGAGGAATCATTCCCTCTTAATTTATCATTAAATCTTAAGTCCTGGCTCAGTGCCTATAGCTCAACTGGCTAAGGCGCCAGCCACGTACACCTAAGGTGGTGGGTTCGAATCCCCAGCCCGGACCCGCCAAACAACAATGACGGCTGCAACCAAAAAATAGCCGGGCGTTGTGGCGGGCGCCTGTGGTCCCAGCTACTTGGGAGGCGGAGGCAGGAGACTTGCTTGAGCCCAGGAGTTGGAGGTTGCTGTGAGCTGTAATGCCACGGCACTCTACCCAGGGGGACAGCTTGAGGCTCTGTCTCAAAAAAAAAAAAAAAAAAAAAAAATCTTAAGTCCTACATTCAGTGTTTTTTATTTTTTGTTTTTTTGGAGACAGAGTCTAACTGTATGGCCCTTGGTAGAGTGCTGTGGCGTCACAGCTCACGGCAGCCTCAAACTCTTGGGCTTAAGTGATTCTCTTGCCTCAGCCTCCCAAGTACCTGGGACTACAGGCTCCCACAACAACGCCTGGCTATTTTTTGTTGTTGTTGCAGTTGTCATTGTTGTTTTAGCTGGCCAGGGCTGGGTTTGAACACCCCAGCCACTGAGTTACAGGTGCCAAGCCCAGCTATTTTTTTTTGTTGTTGTTGTTGTTGTTGCTGCAGGCCCTGGGCTGGGTTTGGTGCCAGCCACATGCACCAAGGCTGGCGGGTTCTAACCTGGCCTGGGCCTGCCAAACAACAATGACAGCTACAACCAAAAAATAGCAGGGTGTTGTGGTGGAAGCCTGTAGTCCCAGCTCCTTAGGAGGCTGAGGCAAGAGAATTGCTTAAGCCAAAGCATTTGAAGTTGCTGTGAGCTGTGATGCCCCAGCACTCTACTAAGGGTGAGAAAGTAAGACTATGTCTCAGAAAAAAAGTCATTTTCATTGGACTTACTTTCTGTCAAATAGTTGGTTATTTTCAGTGGACTTGCAGCAAAAATATTTCATGTGTGTTTTTTGATTTAATGGTTTGCTTTTTAGAATAGGTAAAACCTAAACTACTTAATTTCCTTTGATAAACACATAGACTAAAATTAGCTTAACTGGCACCTCCTCAATCCCTGCTAAATAAGCAGAAATCCACAGATTGCTCTTTCTGGAAAGGATATCGAAATCTTATGCTAAGAGCTTTAATTTGATACTCATGTTATCTTTGGGGTTGTAAGCATGTAATTTTTATGTTAAATGTATACATTAGAAGCTTTATCCTGATTGAAGTCTTTGAAAAACAAATAGAGGACCAGTGGAATAAAACCTGATATTTGATTTCCAGTGTTAACCATGGAAGTTTTGTTATTGGTGTTATGATAATAGTTGTTGTATTCTTTTGTTGTTTTTTTGCAGTTTTGGGCTGGCTGGGGCTGGGTTTGAACCTGCCACTTCTGGTATATGGGGCTGGCGCCCTACTCCTTGAGCCACAGGCACCACCTGTAGTTGCTGTATTCTTATTGTCCAGGTGTGACTCTTCAAAAACACAGAAGTGGTATTTTAGATTTGGCCATAAATAATGAAGGTGAAGTTTACTCTGGAAATCTAACATAGTAGTTTAAAAAAAAAAAAGGTCAGGCGGTGCCTGTGGCTCAAAGGAATAGGGTGCTGGCCCCATATACTGGAGGTGCTGGGTTCAAATCAGGCCCTGGCCAAAAACTGCAAAAAAGAAAGATCAGGCCAGGCATGGAGGCTGAGGCAGGTGGATTGCTTGAGCTCACAGGATTGAGACCAGCCTGAGCAAGAGCATGACTCTGTCTCTAAAAATAGCTGGGTGTTGTGGCAGGCACCTGTAGTCCCAGCTACTTGGGAGGCTGAGGCAAGATAATCACCTAAGCCAGGAACTGGAGGTTGCTGTAAGATGCCAGGGCACTCTATCGAGGGCAGTAAAGTTAGACTCTTGTCTCTACAAAAAGAAAAAAAAATGTCTAAATCCAAATTCATTCTTTGTTGGCATTGTTAGAAGTATATATTTTTGTCTTAAAATCTGTGAGGCTGCTTGGTGGATAGAATAGTTGGAAATCTATTGAACATTATTTGAGCTATGTGTGAACTCTGACAATCTTTTTTTTTTTTTTTTT